CGTGTGTGTGTGTGTGTGTGTGTGTGTGTGTGTGTGTGTGTGTGTGTGTGTGTGTGTGTGTGTGTGTGTGTGTGTGTGTGTGTGTGTGTGTATATTCTCCACTTCCTCTCTACTTTTCTTCACTGTCTCTGTGTTCTCTCTGCATGCCTTGTCTACTTGCGTCCTCTCTCTCATCTCCCCTCTTTGTTTCACCTCTGTTCTCGTTGCCTGTTCTCTCTTCTCCCCGGCCATCTGTTTATCCAATATGGCCGCCCCATCTCAGCTGGGAGCTTTCCCAGGGAACCAGATTTCTAATACAGTTGCTCCTCAACTTAATGGGCCTCCACTCTGCTTTTGCAATTCCTGCTGCATGCAGACAAAAAAAGAACAAGAAATCGAAAAAGAAGTCCCAGGATGGATCAAAAACCGTCCCTAAATCATTAAAACAAACAGTGAAGTCACATTTGGAAATGTCGCAGGTAATCATACCTCTTCCATTTCTACTATCAGGTTGATGGACTAAATATACACCATGTGTAAAGTTTCACCGGATTTTGCACAACAGATTTAGTGGCATGCTACTGAATTAAATATGTCATCGTTCATGTGATACTGTTTCGCTTTAACTAAGGGATAAGATAATTAAGATGCCAAGACTATTGCGGCTGAAGGCATGACAAGGCGAGATTCTTCAGGGTAATCTGCAAAATGAATAAGCAGATGTGAAAATGATGATTGGATAATTTCTCGAAAGAACTTTCTTCTTCTTCTTCTTCTTTTGTGTGTTCCAGTAATTACCTGCTGGCTAGTGCGTGTTGACTCGGCACACAGAAGTGCTTTATGGTTCCAAAATGAGAGACCCATCTGCTTTATTAAAAGGTGTGGAGAGGAAAAGGGCAGCGGGGAAGATGTGTTGAAAAGCGAACTGAGTTAGGAAGGTGAGAAATAAACACGTGAATCATCATTATCCCACATCTCCTTTTCAATTCCCTCTTTTATGTTTTCTTTTTTGTTTGTCCGTGTTGGGACAACCATCCCGTAATGCTCGCACAATGGAGCACAGTGAAGTGGAAGCCCAGCACGACGCAGTCCACAAGACACACTGACAATGAATTAACACTTAGTGTAGCCATTTAAAATGCTTGTTTACTGAAAAAAAATCTAAAAGCTTCAAATAATATTATTTTATATCTCATGTCAAATATTATCATGTCATTCTTAAACAAAAACATCTGATCATGCATATAATAGCTCTTGCCTGTACCCTGGTTTCAACATTTAGTAGACTTGCACATCTAATGACAGAAAAATATAAAACATTTGGAATGTTGCTATTTGATTGACAAACAGTAAATTATTGTTCAATTTAGATTGTTTGAAGTTTGCCGTGAGAAGTATTAATTGGAGTTTGCACAAAGGCAGACACACAAGTGGCAATGACTGCACCAATGCATTTTGCTCGAGACAATCCGTTCATTATGTGCCATCGTGCAGTCATTTCCAACCAGGGTTCCATGGCACACTAGCTTCCTGTTTTTGCTTCTTCCTTTTACTTCATTTTCCACAACTTTATGTCAAGTATGTACTCTAAACACGTGTATGTGTGTGTGTATGTGTGTGTGTGTGTGTGTGTGTGTGTGTGTGTGTGTGTGTATATGTGTGTGTATATATATGTGTGTGTGTGTATATATATATATAATGTGTGTGTATATGTATATATATATATATATACTTAACAAATAACGGAGAGGATGTTATCTGTATTTATTCATTTATATTTGTACATGTAACTGTTACAAAAATCCCTTTTTTTTTTCCTAATATGCCTTCTTCACTTCCCTTCCTGTAGAAATTACATGCCCCGCCCCCGAAGCTCCCAAAAATGGCCACGTGAACTGCACCCCATCTCTCCTCTCGTCTCGGAGCCGCTTTCCTCACAATTCAGTCTGCACATTCAGCTGCCAGGAAGGCTACGTGCTAGATCTAATTTCTTTGCTTTTGCTGCATGTTACAGGAAAGCTGCCACAAATGCTTGAAGAGAAGCGTTCCGCCACGATGGACTGTGAGCCAGCAGTGGCCAGTTTCATAGGTGAGGGATTGACATGTACTGTATATTTAGTGGCCACGTCATTAGTTACAATCATTGCTTTTTTTTTTTTTTTAATTCAAGAAAATGTTTCTCATACCCGCAAAAGAACAAATAATTATGTGCAAATAATTGTGAACATTTTCAGCCACACATACAAAGTAAATAAATTCAGGTATCACTCAAATCAATTCCAAACAGACCTCGCACTGAATGTCCATTCTTGTTTTGTGTTACTTTGTTTCAGATAAGATCAAAACGTCCATGACGGCAATTAAAGCTAAGCAACGGCATTGCTACGCCTGCAAGCCCGAAAAGCAGACCTGGTTCCATCGCCCAAAGTGACTTCCTTGCCGGCCATTGTGTACTTCCTGGACTGTCGTCTCTCAACTGCCAAATCCAGCAACAGACACCAAGATCATACTTTTAAAACATCGAATGAGAGACGAGAATGATTATATTCTTTCTGACGACGCCCTTGGTTACGTGTTAACCAAACGTGATGAACAAGTGTGGAATTACTCCAAGTACGCTACAATACGTCCTGATTCAGATCGCGTTTTCACAACAGCTGCGGCTGTCACAAAGCACTGAACAAAACAGTGTCAAGTCAAATCATAAACACAACGCATGACATCGGGAAATCTTTCCCCTTTATACGCTTTGTTGTTTGAAGCAGTTGAACATGAAAGAGGAGACAAAGTGTCCTTTCACTTATGTGGATGGCCGACGTCTTGCTCAAAATGTGCACACGTCGGCTCCAAGCGACGTTTCAAAGTCAACAAGAAGCTGTCGCGTCCATTGTAATAATATGCTTCACACATCAATCTTCACAACTGCAGCGAGGCCAATGCAAGTTGTGGACAACAAATATTCATTCATTCATTTTCCGATCCGCTTTATCCTCACGAGGGTCACGGGGGGTACCAGAGCCGATCCCAGCCGTCTTCGGCCAGTAGGAGAGGGACACCCTGAACTGGTTGCCAGCTAATCGCAGAGACGACCAGCCATTCACACTCACACGTAGGGACAATTTGGAGTGTTCAATCAGCCTGCCGTGCATGTTTTTGCAATGTGGGGAAACCCACGCAGGCCCGGGGAGAGCATGCAAACTCCACACGGGGAGGCTGAAGCGGGGATTGAACCCACGACCTCTGCACTGTGAGGTCGATGCACTAACCACTGGCCCACTGGGCCACCGGATAACAAATATGTGCAATAAATCAGTCATGTGCACCGCCACCCAACAGGTGAACAGTATGTACACCCGCACACACATGAAAACCATGAAAATTATACCATACTCTGCTATGAAGAACCAAAATAATATTTCTTTCCTTTTTTTTTTTTTTTTGGTCTAAAGAAGCACAATAAGAATAGGAAAATGTTGAAATGTAATGAACATATCTTTTACAAAACATTTCGTGAAGCTCCTTAGGTTTCCTTATGAGACAAATGTGCAATTTACTTTGATCATTCACATGTACGATGCAACTGATCTCACTGATTGCACAAAGGCACAAGACTTGAACAAGTAATTGCTGTTGAAAAATATAGTCATGCAATTGAATATTAAACGAGATTTACAAGGAAAGGATTTTTTAAACCATTTACACATGTGCATATGGAGTCTAAATGTAATCCCTGCCTGCACTTTACAAACGAAGGAGAGCGCTATTACATGTGTCAAGAATAAAGTATTCACATGTCCTTGATAGCGTCGGCTGTGTTCTGTCTGCCTCAGTGATAGATTGAGGTTTGTTGCATTTTTTGACTTTGAAATTATCCTGCGATCCTTATCGACCCGCCTTGGGGGCCAGCCGCGGCCCGCGGGCTGTATGTTTGACACCCCTGTTCTTGGCGAATGTGAATTAAGTGCAAATAAAACACCCATTACGCACACTACCAAAACGTGCAAGCCAACTTTATTCATTGTTTCAAGATGATTTCTTGATCAGGGCAACTCCGCTGGAATAGTTGAGACGCAA